CAGGCACCCTAGGCAGCCGGAAAAAGATCCGTCGAAAAGAAAAAAAGTCACCCAAAGTCGGGCACGCTGCGTGATGGTCACCAAGGGAATCGAGATCGTCCCCACAGCGGCAGCGACGGGGTCCGATAGGCACGGGCTGTCGCAACAACACTCGGAAGCAAGAGCTCGAGAGTCGGAACTCCGCAGCCGGGAGCAGGGGTTGGGGCACGGGAGCCGCCTGGGCCTGCCTGGGGCGACATCATGCACGAAGCTGGGCCAAGGTCTCAGAAAAGGCTCGCGCAGGCGGATGCGTCCAAAACAGGCCGTGGCGGCTCGCTGCCATCGTCGCAGAGGCTGTCCAGACAAGAAGCGGACGCCCGCCTTCGGCAAGTCGGTCCAACGTCGGTAACACAGACCCGGCCCCCTGCAGCTGCGCCACTGCTGTTGCTAGTTCGGCCGGGCTTCGGGTTGCCCCACCAGTTCCTCCTATAGGTTGGAGAAAGAACTGCATGCGGCGGAGGGCCTCCGCCACATTCCGCCACAAGACATGGGTGGCGCTGGCGCAGAATCGGCAAGGTGTCGGCCCAAGATGCCCACTTATAGGCTGCGTTGCGGCCTTCCGTAAGCCTCCGAGCTTCAAAGGCAGCGCCACGCGAGGTCATCCATGTGTATCGGGGCATCGTCCACACGGCTCGCTCAGAGGTGGTACATCCCCGTCAATTAACATTGGCCGTGCCGGTAGGGGGCAGGGACAGCAGGCGCGGCAGCGAAGGAGAGGAGTGCAGACCAGCGGGGAATAAAAACCGAGATGGCAGCAGCGCGCGAGGGTGGTGGCGCAGACCGCGCACGGCACCTTGCCAGCAAGCGGACAAAGGTAGCGGCCTCGGCACTCCAACGCCCCCCAATCTCAAGGGCTATGACCGTGAGCCGCCAGCGGTTGGACCTGCACAGCTCGGGGTACGTGCGCTCTTTTGTTCGTCTTGCAGTGAGCAAAGCCGCTCCGACAGTAAGGCCCCCAGCCCTGCGTGGGAGGGCAGCAGCAGTAACGGGGGAGACAAGCGTGGTGTCGACTGCCGTGGCATCAACTGAAACGACTGTAACAATGTGCAGCGTGCGCGCGGGTTTGCAAGTCGTGCACGGCCCCTGCCCGTGACGATAGAGCGTACTGGTGCTGGTTGCACGATGTTGCACACTGCCTGGAGGTGTGACGCGAACTGTTGGGCAAGGCGACCAATGGACAAGGCAGCAACGGCTGCTCGGGAAGACGGCGAGGAGGCAGGAGAGGTCACCTCGTCGTCCAAAACCAAACGACTGCTTTCGGTGGCCTTGCGGGCTCGGCGAAGGTTGGAGTGCAGCGCCGCCCGATCCAGCAGGCATCGCGGACCACTTTGGCAGACAGTTTACGAGTCCCGCGGAGCTGAGGCTTGCAAAAGGGGGCGGGCTGCGGAACAAAACTGCTACAGTAGGCTGCAGGAGGACGTCCTCGGCATGGACAGGATCAAGGGCACTTGGAAGCTGCTGATGTGACGGCAAGCAACACGTCCCCAAAGCCCGCCAGCTGCTGGATGTGTAACGTTCTAGAAAATATTCATAACATATGTAACCGCACAAGAAGGTAACTCCACTTTGTTTATTGCCACGAAATTCTCGAGCTGCCCAAATTGCCGTTGGCGTTCCAGCCGCGGTCGCAGCTGAGTACGCTACTAACGGACGTCGAGCTCCACCTGTCTATCTTCATGGCGTCTGGGACCGAATCTTTCTGAGGCATTTGGCGCCGGCAGGCGGCTTGCGACGAGCGCGGGGCCGCTGCGAACCTCGGCGAGGACTTCGTGGAGGTCAGGCGCCGCGCCCGCATCGCAAATGTCACCACCAGGCAGCTCCAGGAGGGACGCTGCAAAGGCACGCATGGCAGCGACCGCAAGGAGGCCGGACCAGGCGCTTAACCAGCGAGTCTGCACACGTCATTGAGGGACCATCAGTGAAAGCCAAAGGACTTTCATTGCAAATGCCTCGGCCAGGGAATTGGTTGCTTTGTGCTCGACCTCGCCGAAGCAGCGGGGCCGAGCCGACTGCCCCCGCACTAGCCTAGTTCGGGCCATAGGAGCCGTAGGGTTGATTAGAGTATCGACCCTGTTGGACCATCCAAAGAACACTGCTTCGTCCTTGGCAGGGGCCCTTGGAGAGCAGCCACCACGTTAGCAAGCCTCAGGTGCAACCACTGCCTAGCTGCAGAAACGAGGCCAACTGACCATTCGTACCCGACTCATCAGCGCCAAAAACAAGACCACCTGCATCCAAACGACAGAGGTCTCGCCATGCCAGTTCTTTGCACAGGGCCAAATCCCGAGTCATCCTCGCTCGCGAAATAGTTTGGCCATGCCCGGAGATGCCGCCTCATCGTCGTTGGTACCGAGGATGGCGGCAAGTTGAGCACCGAAGTTGTGCAATTCCTGCGCCTCCTAGCGCTTCGCCGAACCGCTGCCGTCCCCAGGCTGCTGCTTCTTTTTGTTTTTTCTTTTTTGCTGCTGCTTCCTGCCGCCATCACTGCCTGGGTAGCGCGCTGGTCGGGGCACATCGCGGTCGCCGCGCAGCGCACTTTCTCTGCCTCCCGGCTTGAGCCGCTGACCTTGGTGACCGGGGCCACCCACTGACGACACCGGGATCCGCATGGTGGGGCCGTCGGTATTGCGCAGGTAGCGCAGGGATGCGCACGGACCGTTTGTACCTCGACGTGAAATGGCCCTTGGAGAAAAAACTGCGAGCACCATCACAATTTACCATAAAGTGGGACGTTCAAATCCGCAACCAAACGGACAAATTCAATTACCTTTTTTCCCCGCCATTGTCTGCTCCATTTTCACAATGCTTGCTCTTGCTGCGAAGCGATATGCTTGAGCAAATTAGCTAAAACGAATGGGTTTGGCGGCGGCTTGTTTGCTACAACAGGTGACCGCTTCACATGAAAATATTGTATTCACCACTGTGACTCCCCTCCATGGATGCCTTTCGCATGCCGGAGACATTTGTTTACGCCAAGCATGCGGATGGTTTCAGTCTGGCAAATGGTCGGCCCGCCGCGGGAGTCGGGCGTGAATGACGGGGGCCGCAACAGCTCGCGCAGCCCAGTGCACCAAGGGTGACTTCGCGGAGCAAGCGACTCAGCAACTCCCAAGTTTTGAAACATTGGCCAGCACGGCTGGGGCAACACATGGCAACCCCAGCGTGATTAAGCTTCGGCACGGACGCGGCGCCTGCAGCGCGTGGCTGCAGAAACCTAGCTATTTGTCAGACAAGGACTGGCATGTGAGAGTTCGCACAGTTGCGTGCCGATGCGTTTTCCTTCTGCTGCTGACCGTCAACGGTTGTTTCGTGTCCGGGTCCTTCTCGCGCGGCCAAGCCATCTGCTGCGTACCGAGCCGCTTCCCAAGCCGTGCGTAGCTGCAGACGCGGGCACGGACGCGTCGACCGATAACATGCTTCGGAACGAGGTTCCCAGCAAAAAACGTTCCTGACTCGGATGCATGAGCTTTTTCCTGGGTTGCCCCGGTAATACAGATACCTCCGTGTTCCTACCCAGCGTCCTCGCGCGAGGGGATTTCGGAAGGGGATGGGAAAGGCAACAGAATTGAACGGTGATGGTCATAAAAGATCATACCGAATGCAACATGCGGGTGCGTCGTGAATGGGCACTGCATGCGCTTGCCCAAATGCAGCTAACTGCTTCCTGCCCGGCTGCACCGCTAAGCAGACACGGAGGCCGCATAAACGGTATTCACGGGAGGCCGAGGCCAGCGCCCCGGCACCGCACACGAGCGCGATGGCACCACACGTCACGCACGAAACGACACCGGCATTTGCACGGCCAGCACCACTGGTGGCGGATGCGGGCACCCGGCCCTGGCATGCCCTGGCAGGATGCCTGCCCGCCCACCTCAGCGCCCGGCGAGTGCAATTCCTGGTGTTTTGTCCTTTTGTTGCACGCGGGGGGCCGGCTGCTTGAGTGCGCATGCGTTGCATGCTTGCCTGTGAACCTTCCGCCCTTGAACGAGCGTTGGGCACAGCTGCTGCCACTTCGAATGGGGGGTCTGGGCTTCTCTTCCACATGGAGCATCGTCATGCGGCGTACTGGGCATCGGACACGATCATGGCGCTTTGCGGGACTGCCAACCCGGGCATGCTATGCTCGGGCGACACTCTGCGACGAGCATTGTCGGGAAAAGTTTGTCGGCTACGTAGCTCGACACTTTGAAAGCATGATGACAATGAAGGGGTCACCATCCCCCGGCATGGGCTGGGAGGTCATGAATGTCGTTGGCCACATCGTGCAAACTCGAACAGTCTCACGACGCATCACACTGATGAAGACTCACGCGTAGCAACAGCCGAATCGTCGTAGCATAACGACACAACAGTACCAAGCAAACCCGACCCGAATCCAACATTGTCGGAGGCGGAGGAGCAAGCAATTCACGATCGGCGGGCTGGCGGCATCGGGGATGAGTCGCGCGCTGGAGCCGTAAACAACTTGACCGTGCTGTCTGTCAACTTTACCTGCCGCTTAGAACCTTATCAGTCGGCGAGCGATGAAGTGCCTCCAAGCCATATGTTGTCTCTACTGCGGTAAACCCGTCTGTCGGTCATACCGCAAAATTATCTCCAGCCCCGAGAGGAGCCCGGCGAACATGTAAGTTCTTGGACAGCATCTACATCTTTTGGCACTGCTTATTTGCTTGCCGGACTCCAACACCATCTGCTCAAAGCATCTCAACACCGGCAACACACGAGTTTGGAATTCTGGCAGGTTGCTACCTCAGTTGGCAACCCATGCACCCCTTCTCCTGTGCAGGACCTATCGTTGACATATGAGCCCAGCACAGCCTCCTGGATGCTCCTCCTGGTTGCCTCTATCCACCGTGCGATTACGATCTTTTTGAGATTTTTCATCCACACAGTGCGACAAATGCTGTGCAAAAAAAAGCATTTAAAAAAATACCGTACATGGAAAAGGTCAACGTCGAAACCAGCCTATCCAGAAGGTGGTCCACTCGAAAGAAACTGCAAGCGACAGATTCAACATCATCATTTCGACCAGTGGCGCATCTAATCGCGTAGTACCGAAAGGTGCGCAACTCGGCGCTCTTGCCATCTCTTGCCGACCTTGTTGTCGAATTCCGGGGCGGCTGCACTTCGTCGGTGCCGCACGCAGAGGCCTGGTTGACGTGCGTCGACGTGTGCTGAACCAAGGGCGGTGTCGCCGACGATTTGTGCGCTGAATTGCTGGTGGCGGCGACGCAGAGAGGACGTAAGGAATGGTGCCACCAACGGTCTATCCTGTCAACTAATTTGCGCACTGAACAACGAGACGACTTGCGCACTGGAACGACGGTGAGGGTCGTGTCAGCGACAGTTGGTGCGTCCGGGTAAGAGACGATTGGTCACTTCGCTGGTGGCGGAAAGGCTGAGGTCGCACGCGCCAAGCGGCGCGGTGGCTCCCTGAACGACGAGAGGGCTGTGAACGGGGATGCGCAGACAGTAGCAAAGGGACAGCCGATGCGGCAGAAAATTGCGCCAGGCGGCAGAGACGGTGAGTTCATTGACATGCGCAGCATGTATGCTCTTGCAAATCCTTGCTTATGCGGCCCAATACCCGTTGTACGAGAGATCCGCTGATACTCGCAGATCGACCACGCATATCGAACAGGAGCATTGACCATATGTACAGCCGCAGACGATCATGTCCTCGCGTTGTCGCACCCGTTATTAGGCTGACATGTGCAAAATGTGTCCGCGTTGACTGACCAACGGCAGCGGGAGAGGCGTCCCGTATTCGTGTCCACCAAACGATTGGAGCCGCCTGGACGAAGACCCCAATTGTGGTCTTTTCTGCCGTCCGGGTAGAGCATATTTGCGTATGTTATAGTATATGAAAGTAGATTGCAGTAGATTGGAGTGTATGATAGTATGTTCTAACGTACTCCCTGCAACACCCCGGCAGCACCATGTGCAGCGGCCGCGTGAATCCATTGTTGCACTTTGAAGGCTGCACTTCTAAGGCAATCTGAGAAAAAGTAAATATCCTTGACTTCCCCGTTCGGCCTTGAGTGCGGATTGGCGATGTGGACCGACGTATCCCAGAACTGAATGGTCTCATAGCCGTGACATGGCCACTAAGGCCCTCTCGCTGAGAACCCAGCCAGAAATGCTGCACTCGCGCAATCTGTGCTTCCAGCTCTCCTTGCCGCAAGGCCTCGTGGGCGGTCGCAGATTGTCGCAGATGGGAAAAAAAGAACACACAGGGAACCAAAGCATGCGAACCATACCCGCCCTCCTGGAGCATTTCCGGCGAAGAGCGGTGTCGCTCCTGTTGCTCCTGATTGACCAGGACCCTGCTGCACGGAATTGCAGTGTGCTGCGAGTAGCTTCATTGTCCACCGACAATGCATATGAGCGATGCCTCAGCAACTGAATTCCGAACTTCAGCGGCGGCTCTTTCGAGCAAGTGCACCTCGCGCCATGCCTTCGCAAGAGGTGTTAGCGTGAATCTGTGGATCCGTTCCAGCGGAAGGGCCGCCTCCTCCAGTCTCTGGAGAACATCCGTTTCAGCATGCGTCTGTGCCAAGAAGGCCTGCAGACTTCAAATGAGCCGTAATACACTACATCATACTTGAACTAGAAACTATTATCATATACTACAATATACGAGAATATACTATAATATACCATAAATATGCGATAACTATGGTATACTCTGCTAATATACTTGCGATATCGACACCCGTCCGGGGCCTGCTTCGCCAGATGCGCCTTGGATGTCTCGGAAGCCACTTCGGCTCGAAGCTCAGAGGCCGCGTGCTCTTCCGCACGGGCCTCGGTTGAGAGCCGTCGCGCCTGCGGCGAAGTCGCAGCTACACCGAATGAGGAGTTACTACTTACTGCCCTGTATACTCTTGGAATGTTGTGACGTGGAAAAAGACCAAGCCAGTAACCCTCTATGTGGATATGTATCTATTCTAATCCCCTCGGGAACCCCGGCCCTGGCCTGCATCTTCCATGCCTGCACTTCGAGGCGCGTCCTCAGTGAGACTTCCGGTCGGGAGGGAATCTCTACGCGTAGGCCGGGTTTGATTTCAGCGGGGTCCGATAATCAACGAACTCCAACTACGAGTCCAACCTGAAAGATGACTCCGATGTACAGCTCTGACTTGACGTGTAGACCACGCTGAGGAGCAAGCACAGCCATCAACGTCTCGTCGTGCCGCGGCGGGCCATCCTCTGCAGCTGGCAGCTGGGTTTGGGGCAGCCACAGGAGCAATCAGAAGCAAAGCAACTGCGCACCTCACGTCCTGAATATCCCCGATGCTCGCCGCACCTGCCAGGTTGTCAAGCGACGCTTTTCACTTAGGGGCATGGCCTGCTTCTGTCCGGAGGCCCAGGGTACGGTCCAGCCAGACCCGGGCTGAAAGGAAGCGAAGGAAGAGAACCGAAGAAGATTTGGGGCTTGGGAGCTCAACTTCGAGGTGCTCAGGGCCTCTTCAGGTCTGTAGGCTGGTAGGCCCTTTGCACCCAGCGTACACAGAACAATCCATAGAATGCTGGAAGCCTGGATGCCTCTGCAATAGACTCTGAAGATAATAGCCAAGAAGTCGCAAAATCGGCAGCACTTCCTCCACCAGAACACAACAAGCTGCTTCCCTTGCGAACCTCTCCGGCCGTACACTGTACACCCGCCAGCCCTAACAGCCACCTAGGCTGTGCCTTCTCTTAGAATCCTCGCCGTACAGTCAGCGCCTTGGCTCATGCTACTTCCTCTTCCCCGATGTCTTCCGAAAATCTCAACCTCACCGGGCCGATGAAGCTGTGCCCCGTGTGTCTGCGGCTACTTTGCTTCAGACCCACTGTTTCGTTTTTGATGAGGCCGGCCTCGTCATGTCACATTGCCTTGGGGGCCATCGCATCTGACCGCATGTTCATCTAAGAGCCCCGTTGTAGGCGCTTTCCCAAGCGGTCAAATAAGCACCACTTACGTGAACGACTTTGATGACCTGCGTATGAAACATATGAAGGACTCAGCTCTTCCTGGCAGATTGAGACACTGCTGCTGCGGGATGACGAAGATTTCCTGACTCCTGTGCTCTCCGGCTGCAGGGACTCTGCTCTCAACTGCAGAACCTAAGAGTTTCTGTGCGGCTGCGACTGCTAGCTGCTAGGTGCTGCTGAAGCTGATGGGAAGGTGAGTGGATGATGATGATGATGACGACGATGACGATGACGATGATGTTGATGATGATGTGCATGAGCAGATGAATGAAGGGACCAATGGGTTACTGGAGGCTCGAAGGAAGGAATGAAGGAATGCAGGAAATAGGGAATGAAGGAAGGCAGGAGGAATGGAAGCATGACTGGACGAAGACACCCAAACATTGCGCCAACATTTGTGCACCGATTTCTGCGCAGGGTCTGTTAAGGAGCATCTAAGCTCATGTGGGACGCAAACACCCTCGGTCGAAAACTGGAAAACACCTCGGGAAGCGACGCCAGATGCTTCAATCCTGAACTGCAGCTACAGGTGTCAATACTTCCCTGCCCGCTCTGTCTATATTAGTCTATATGGGTTTAGGGTTTAGGGTCTATGTGTAGTTTATGTTATATAAAAAACACCCGAGCTAGCATCGCTTTCCAAAAGAGCTGTTAGCCGATCAGCGCGCAGACCTCGAAGCGCAGTTCAAAAGGGCTTCCGCGCCTAATCCCAGGCAAACGTGCAGCTTCTGAATCTGGCCGTGCGGAGATAGCCCCGGCAGGGCTGAAAACCTTAGCCTTAGACTTGATGCATAAGCCTCCCGACCCGAAACCCCAAACCTCACGAACCTTTGAACATGTCCTACCCAAAGTCTCACCCGTCACAAAACCACGACTAAGCCATCTCAAAACATTTCTATGCTCAACGCCACACCCTCAGCGGATGAATTCGAGGTGGCACCTGTCACACGGTCTGTGCGATGTCGTCACCCGATTAGCACAACAAAAGCCTTCTGCTGCTTCAGTACTTAATCGTCCTTGAAGACCCTTGAAGAGGATGCGAGCAGAAGCTAGAACCCACCACTGCCACTTGCTGGCTAGGTGCCACGGCTTGCCGCCACCAATTCCCCCACGACAAACGACGACAACCATTTATCCAACCACACTGCTACCACTAAGACCACCGTCAACTGATCATACTACCTCCTACATCCTTCCTACCTACCTACCTGCCTGCCCACCTACCTGCCCGCTCCGACTACGACTACTACTACTACTACTACTACTACTACTACTACTACTACTACTACAACTACGACTACGAATACGACTACGCCTACGACTACGACTACGACTCCGACTACGCCTACGACTACGACTAC